CCCCCCCAAAAAAAAGATTAATGGAATCTATGTCTCTTTGTTCCCCGATCTCACCCTCCCCCTTCCGCCCCCCCATCTCAGCCCTTTTTTATTTTTGATGGGTTATGGGGCTGGAACTTAGGGCCTAGACACTGTCTCTGAGCTTTTGTGATCAAGGCTATATTCTTCTACCACTCTGAGCCACAGTTCCACTTGTGGTTTTTTTGGTGGTTGATTGGAGGTAAGAGTCTCATGGACTGCCCAGGCTGGCTTTGAACCACAAGCCTCAGATCTCAGTCTCCTGAATAGCTAGGATTACAGATGTGAGCCACTAGTGCCTAACTTAGACTGAGTTCTTTTAAGACACAAGTTGAGCTGGGAATGTGGCTTAGTGGTAGAATACTTGCCCTAGGTTCGATTCCTTAGTACCACATAAACAGGAAAAACTGATAGTAGAGCTGTGGCTCAAGTGGTAGAGTGCTAGCCTTGAGCAAAAGAAGCTCAGGGATAGTGCCTATCCCCTGAGTTTTCAAGATCCAGGACTGGCAAAAACAAAAACAAAACCATAGGATATGTCTAGTTTGACTCTGTTTTCCCAGCATACAACATTGTTAACTAACCCATATCATGGGCTCCCAGAAGGTTTGTTGAATTGAGGCAGAGTAATTAATTCTAATTTTTTTTAATGTGATTCCTCTTTATATAGTATCTTTTGATTTTGGGAAGACATTTGGCAGAGTGATATCTGAAGGATTGGGGATGGGAGGGGGAGTGAGAGTACATGCTTGTGTGCTTTCAGTAGTGGGGTTTGAACTTGCGGCCTTACATTTACTTGACTTGCTTGCTAGTACATGCCACAGTTGAGCCACACTTCTAGCCTTGCTTTTTGATGGTTATTTTGTAGGTAGAATCTAGCAGACTTTTCTGTCCAGATAGGCTTTCAACTTTGTTCCTCCAAATTTTAGTGTCCTCTATAGCTAGGATTACAGGTGTGAGCCATTGGCTCCTGGGCAGTGGTCTGTTTTAAGTGGATGAATATCATTGTCAAGTGAAGAAGGTAGGCTAAATTTTTAACAAAAAGCAACTGATTTTATGTGCATAAGTTTTTTCAGTCATATGACTTATTAGAAGATTAGCAAGTTAAAATAGTAATGTCTTATGTTCTGCCTGTAATTTTGGCAAAAATTATAAGAAGATGATTATAACTGGGCACGAATGGCTCACACCTGTAATCCTAGCAACTCAGGAAACTGAGATATGAGGATTGGGGTTCAAAGCTAGACTGGGCCTCATGCATGCAAAGTAAGCATTCTAAACATTCTACACTGAGCCACCTTCCCAGCTTCCCCCCACCCCCCGACATTTTAAAGTGCACTAATGAATTAAAAGCTAAGTAAGAACTAAAGTGATAAAATGAAAGCAGTATCGAGGTTCCTCAAAAGACTCCACATAGAACTCCCCTATGACCCAGCAATCCCACTTTTGGGCATTTACCCAAATGTTCACAAACAAGACCACACTAAAGCTACCAGCACAACTATGTTTATTGCAGCATTATTTATTATAGCTAAAATATGGAACTAACCCAGATGCCCCTAAGTAGATGAATGGATCAAGAAAATGTGGTATATATACACAATAGAATTCTATGCCTCCATCAGAAAGAATTATATTATGTGAAGTAAGCCAGGCCCAAAGAAACATAGGTCCCATGGTTTCCCTTATTTGCAATATCTAGTATATGTCTGAGTCAAGCAGAAAAAGTCAGGTAAGTTGATGTTAGGGAAATGAACCCTAAGATATGTATTCAAATGTTTTTTTTTCTGTCATGCAATTGTTTCTAACACATTGCTTTGTATGTCCCTCCCCCACAGTATAACCCCTGCTTTCACTGTATTTAATGTTGGTATAATTTGTGGAGGGGAAAGGGAAAAACAAATCATTTAAATAGGGATACAGGTGGACCCATTGCAACAATGAGATGTACAAGTCGTTATGTCGAAAACAAACTTTACAACTTTGTTGGGGGGGAGGAATAGGTGGGGGGACGGGGGGAGGATGAGAAGGGGAAACAAAGGAGGAGGCTACAATGCTTAATAAGAAATGTACTCATTATCTTGCCCATGTAATTGTAACCCCTCTGTACATTATTTTCACAATAAAAAAATGAAGATATCAAACTGGGCATGGTGGCATGCACATGTAGTCTCAGATACTTTGGAGGCTAAGAGGGAAAGATTGCTTGAGCCCAGGAGTTTAAAACCATTGTACCTAACTTAGTGGAAACCTGTATTGCAGAAACAAATAAAATTCGGGTATCATTTCTCACATATCAAGTTTGGTCAGTTTCCTAAAATTTTGAAAATACCACTTTGATGTAGAAGTTGTGGGAAACATTGTTTATTTCTGCTGCAAATGTGAAATGATGTATGAGTCCTTAGAAAAAGAGTTTGGTCTAGAAATTTCTTTGGGAACCCATCCCAAAGAAATAGCAATAGTACGCAATATCCTCAAGGTATTGTAGCAAGACATATAATATTAATAGAATAGGAGTAACATTGATGTCCATCATTAAAGAAATGAGTATAGCATACATCCACATAGGTATTCTAATTTAAAAACTGACAGGCCATAATATTAGATATTTATTTAAAAATTTTCTTGCCTTATTTAATTACCTTTATTATGCCAGTCCGGTGGCTTGAACTCTGGGCTTAGATGCTATCCCAGGACCCCCCCCTCTCCGTCTTTCTCTCTCTCCCCCTCCCTCCCTCTCAAGGCTAGTACTCTACCACTTGAGTCACCTTTCTACTTCTGGCCTTTTGGTGATTACTTGGAGATAAGAGTCTCAAGGACTATTATGCTCTGGCTGGCTTCAAACTGATCCTAAGATCTCAGCTTCTTGAGTAGGTAGTATTATATTTATAATAAGCATGAGCCATCAGGACTCAGCTTTTTTTTTTTTTTTTTTAAGAAAAGGCCTTCATTGTTCAGACTAGCTACAAACTCAAGATCCTCCTGCATGGGGGGAGGGTTGGATGGGGGGGCGGGGGAGGCTGGGAAGGGATGTGAAGGGTAAACAAAGGAGGAGGCTGCAATGCTTGATAAGAAATGTACTCATTATCTTGCTCATGTAATTGTAACCCCTCTGTACGGTATGTTCACAAAAAAAAAAAAAAAAGATTCTCCTGCTTCAGCTTCCTGAGTGTTGGGATTACAGACATTGCCACCATGAACAGCTAAGATCTTCTGTTTATTTATTCATTTTTCAATTAAAACCTAGTGTCAAGAAATATTGTGTCCTCAGGGCTAGAAAGGTGGCTCAGGGGTAGAGCGCTTGCCTTGCATGCTTGAGGCCCTGGGTTCGATTCCTCAGCACCACATAAGCAAAAAGAAAAAAAAATATTGTGTCCTTAGTAAGAGATTGCTGTTGGTGTTCTTCACATGAACTAACACATAAAATCTGTTTGTTCTAGCTCCTTACTTACTTTGGGTGGAACAAGCTACGTGGAGCAAGGAAAGGAAGCCACCATGATCAGGGCCAAAGGCTATGTGATATGGAGGCCAGCATGGTCAGAGGCCATGTAATGTAGAGACTGGCATGTTTAGAGGCCATGTATATGGAGGCCACCGTGGTCAAAGTTCATGTGATGTGGAGGTGACAGCTTGGAGAAAAGGAACTTGTGGGAAATGTAATGACCAACTGTAAATATTTGAGAGGATATTGTGGGAAGGAGTGATCAAAGGGCAGAATTTATAGGAAGCAGGTTCCACTTAGGGGAGAAGTTTCTATTCACATCTCTCAGTGAAGTGGGGCTCTTTGCAGATTGGCAGCAATGGGAACAGTGGACCCTTAGTAAATGAGGTGGCATGAGCTATAAGGTATACATCCATGAAACTATGAATTGACCAAAAGAAAAAGGTTTCTTATTCACATACAAGAATAGCCAGAGATTAGATTACTAACCAAAAAATATTTGCCTATGTTTTTCACTTTTATGTTGCTACCAAACTTCTGACACTCAGTATTTGATATTGACTTTGTTGTTATGTGTTTTGTACTGGGAAGTAAGGTTGAGGCCTCAGTTTCTTAACTAGAAAGGGTTAAACTAGAGGCAGCGTAAGTGCACTGAGGTAAGGTACTAGTTGAGGACTCAGGGAAACGCTGTAGCAGTAAAACCAAAGCCAAGCAGCAGCTGATGGGGAGAGCACAGCCACCTAGGTCCTTAGTTTCTCTGCCTTAGTTTCTTTCTTTCTTTTTTTTTTTTAATCGGTCGTGGGGCTTGAACTCTGGGCTTGGGTGCTGCCCTGCACTCTTCAGCTCAAGGCAAGCACTCTACCACTTGAGCCACAGCGCCACTTCCAGTTTTCTAGTGGTTTATTGGAGATAAGAGTCTCATGGACTTTCCTGCCCAGGCTGGCTTAGAACCATGATCCTCAGATCTCAGCCTCCTGAGTAGCTAGTTTTACAGGCATGAGCCACTGGTGCCTGGCTGCCTTAGTTTCTTTACCTGCATAATGGCAGCAATAACACCAGATATTGGTGTCATTTTACTATTCTTTAAAGTACCTAGTTATTTGATAAACCATTATTGTTGGCTGAAGTGAATAAAATAATGAATTAAATTTGGAAAGTGATCGTGGATACATTGATCTGCATGGGTAAGTAACATTTGATACAGTGACACTAAATTCATTTTACATTCCAGCCTGCCTTCTGTGTTCTATGTAATTTAACCATCTGTTTTCTGAGAAGTATGAGTCTTGAATTAGAACTAATGTTTTGGTGACATGTTTTAGAATATGACTTAACTTTTTATGAGCAGGTCATGAGTGAGTATATTTCGATGTGACAACTTGAGTATTCTTGTACTGGGCCTCTCAATGTATAACGTTTACTCGTACCCAAGATAGTTTTAGAAATAGGAAGTTGGTTGAAACGGTTATATTTTTAAAGATTTGAGATAATTGTGATTGTGTTCTCACTCAGTTAATGACTTCTTGCTCCCATGATTTTCTAGCAGATGAAGATCTGGGAAACACCAAAGTCACTGCTTCACTAGCTTCTGACTCTGATCCATCACCCCACTCCTCACCCTACAGGTAGGGACAAGCAGCTGCTTTGGATAAAATGCTTCTAGAAGTTTTGTCTTCTGACAGTAAAGGGACTAGTGGAAGAAGTAGGCAGCAGTTAAAGGGCAAGACACTGAAATTACTCATCAACTGTGAAATATGTTTGGGGGCAATGTTAGATATATTTCAAGTTATACATTCTTCTTTTATTCTTCAGAGAATAGTAACAAATAGACTAATTTAGTATCCTGGTTTATCTTCCCCTGAAATCCAGATGTAAGAGTGAAAAATAGTTGATATAGCCCACAGGTGGACTTGCAAGAGAATGTGTTTGGTTTTTGCTCATAAAATATGTGTATTTACAATTGGGATTGGGGGGGGAGGGGGGAGGCTG